TTCAAAGAATTATAAAAAAGAAAATCAGGAATTATCACTTTAAAAAACCAAGAGGGTAAAATAGGTTTAACATGCTAAAAGATTATTTATTAACACGTTGTCTGTCTATTCAGACCTAGTCCCACCTTGTAAGAGAATAATATTATTTTAAATGCCTAGCAGCCTTTAGTGAAAGCAGGTTGGTGGTCATGGTCACACCATACACAAGGCCCACTGAGTGTGATCACACTTGTGATCACGCCACAGTCAACGTGTTAATTTAAACTCAGAAAGTACAAAATTTTGTTACGATTATTAACACAAAATTAGTCAATTTTTCAAGAATACAAAATTGGTCACTCTCATAGAGGTCCAAGGCTGACAACAAATGACTGAAAAACCAAAATGTACGAGAGCAAGCAGTCCAAGAATAAAAGAAAACATCAAAATTTCTTGACACGTGCAATATACAAGAACAGAGTTCATGCCTTGCACCTCTAAGTGTGATTAGGGTTTTGCACTGGTCATATAAAAGATGGATAAGATCTAAGGAGAAGTTATTATCCAAGCAAATCACACCAAAGTAAAATAAAAATCATCATACACAAATTTAAAAATAAATACAAACAAAAAATCAGACCAACACAAATCTTGACAATGGTGAAAAATCATTGTGAGGAAGCCATGTGTACAGTAAAACTCAAAAAGGGAGTTAAAGCATTGCATGTTGATGAAACGCACCAGTCACAGACAGAAGAAAAAATAAACGAGCAGATTTCCACTTCAACAATTCAGCAGCACCTGTGAGTTAGAGTGATGCACACAACAGACGTTTATTATAGCAATAGCTTTAGAAAAACAGAGATTGACGGATTTATTCATGCAGGCATAACTGCCCGAGGCTTTGAGTGAAAATATAAGTGTCAACAAGTACTTTGCTGAAAGCTCATAACTAAAATTAGAAATAAAAACAGAATTTTAAAAAAAGTTTCAAAAAAGCAGCTTTTTGAAAGCAGCAGGTATTGACATTTGTTCATAAGGCAGAAAAAACACAAATGGGATTAGATTAATATTTTAGAATCAGATAGATAAATTAGAAAATGTCATAAGAGCAGTTCATTCTGAATTCCGTCAAGAAATGAGTGTCAGTGAGTACTATTGGATGAACACAGCCACTAAAAGAGATGAAAGACAAACGAACTGAGGTAGAGATGAATGGATGGTTGGTGTTGATGTTATTGATTGCTGGGTGATGGGTGCAGGATGCAGGAATTTTATCTGATGTGCTGCTTTAGCCTCTCACACTGCTGAACTAAGGCCAGTTTGGCAGCCTCAGCAAGAGTCAACCGTTGGGAAACCTCTTTTACCTACAGGAGGAATACACACCACTAAAGTAATAGGAATTGAGTGTGACAAAACAGACAAAACTAAGATTGAGCTGTATGATTCAGAGTCATGCACACGTGCATGAAACTGAGAAAATTATTAAATAAAACCATAATGCAGACACAACAATTGGAAAGTTTATAATCATGGTAGGTGCAATCCTGAAAGTTAGCAAAATATATGAGTGGTCTAATTCATTCTCAAAGAGAGGTAACAAATATCATTCTCCTGTGAGACATGCACTAAACAGACATAAAAAAACAGGGGGAAATCCAAAAGAAATAAAACAAATAAAACAGAGACCCTCGTCCACTTTTGCGACTACGACGATCACGGTCACGGGTCTGCTCTCTTCGTTTTTGTTTATTACTCCCTTTACAGTCCACATCCGTCACATCCATATTGATGTCTGGCGTTGAATCTGCCACACCCAAATGATGACGATGAGCCTGCTTCTTAGGTTTTGGAATCATGGAGTGTTTGGGAAACCGAGTGGTAGAAATGTTTTTCATCGAGTTTTGCTCAATGAGTTGCTTGTCTTCTTTGGGGAACCCGAACTCCTCTGTAACAGTACCGGTTGCTTTCAAAGTAGGAGAAATAGAATTCCTGACATTTCCTTCTAAATTTTCTTCCAGTGAGGACATCGGACTATCTGCAAGTTCTTTGCTTTCCATGTTAAGTCTCACTAGCTCACGAACATCAGATGAATTACCTTCAAATATATCAATTCCTCCACTGGGCAATGTTTTTAAATCATGATTTATCAACACCTCCTTGCTTTCTTCCCAAATCATAATCCCATCCATATAATCCAAATCATCAAGTCCAATATCAGGGGCACTTTGGTTATCATTTGACTTTGCCATTATCTCCTCATTTGTTTTCCAGATCATCACACCCTCCAAGTAATCAAGAACATCAAAGTCTCCAATATCCTTTGTTTTCCCTACTGTTGCCATGCCTGTCATTCTGTCATTCTCACAAGAAAAATGAGAATTAGACATTTTATCTGAATAAGGTAACAAGGACCATGCATCATCAATAAATTCCTTGGCCGCCGGTTCTTCAGGTTCTTCAGGTTCTTCAGGTTCCTCAGGTTCTTCAGGCTCTTCAGGCTCTTCAGGCTCTTCAGTGAGCTTTGCCCAAAAGTCCTCATCAGATTGTAAATGCTTCATTGTTTCATCTTCTTGTTTAATTAGTGATTTGGTTTGATCAAAATCTGAACAGTCATTTATTACGTTGCTATGATGAATTTCTGCTGAACCATCTGCATCTGGCTCCAAATGGTGAGATACATCATCATCCTTCAATTTAGCCCAGAAATCTATTTCTTCATTTTCGGAAGTAACAGAACCATTACTATCATAATCTTCAAATCTTCCTCCTTCAACAACTGACTGAGGGTCAGTGTTATTCTCATCAAGCAAATATGCTATCGCTGAAATGGCCTCGAATGACTCTTCATCTTCTGGTTCTTCATTATCGACAATTGTAAAGTCCTCAAAATTGCTTGTACCGCTGTTAGATTGATTAAGGCAGGTTTCTTTAAATTCATCATCAATTAAAATTTTAGAGTCAGTTTGTTCTTGGGGCCTACTAAATTTTTCTTTAGTTTCAGCAGTAAGTGCTGCCCAGAAATCATCCTGATCTTCCCCTTCATTTGTTTCCTCATAGTTGTCAAGTTGGTTGCCCTCAGGTTCGTCATACCCATTGGCCTCATCAAAATGACTTTCAGACTCGCTCGGACTACTCAATTCTTCAAAACCATTTACAGCCTGGAAAACAACTGATACATTTAACATCACTGTCCACCATACAAAGTTTGCAAAATTTAGAAATAAGTGAACAAGAGTAGAACATGTAGCACTGCTAAAACAGATTCATAATGATAAAGCCTCAAAATCAAAGAAGTTGCTATATATAAAGACAGAAGAATAACAAGCCAAGTTGTCATTACTAAGCTAGGACAGTAGATAAGAGAAGTAGCATAAATCCACTCACATGCTTGTTCAAATTTTAATTTTACTAAAAAGCCTTAGGATATTTCAATGCTAGATGACCTATAATAGCAAAAACAGGTTGGTCGCTGCAATACAACATCAAATGCTCGTTCCTATTCATGTCATGTTAAAATTATTGGTGATCCTATGTAAGATAGTTGTACAAACTACCTGTGTGTCTTTTGCCATGTTTTTATGCTTATCAATAAATAGGCATTCCAAAGTAACAAAATAATTCTAGACAGAAACTCACCTCTCGTTGAAGTTTCCTCTTTTCCACTTTTAATTCATCCTCTACCTTTTCTGCTGTTTCAGCTGCCGATTTGTAACGAATAACTTGGCTTTCCAGTCTTGCAACCTAAATCCACAAAACATCAATAAGTTTCTAAAAAAAAAATAATTAAAGAAATTTAGAAAAATGAAAATAATAAAAACAATGATCTTACATTGGCCTGCAATGTTGAAACATCTTGTTCTGCCTTTTGCAGTTTGAATTTATAATCACCTAGCAATTTTTGAGCTTCTCCTGAAATAGAAAATAAAGTTTATATACTGAAATTTGCTTGAATACTAGACGTAGATCTCAATAAAATTTAAAGTTCATACTTTGAAGGTCCTCCATATCAGAGTCAGCAGGACCATTGAGAGTACGAGGCCCATTTCGATGTCTACTGCGCTCCTCCTCTAATTCAAGTTTCAGATGTCGAATCTGATCCAGGAGTTCGTTGTGTTCTTCAGCCAACTTTCGCAGTCGTACATCTGGAGACAGCAAGTGTTATTAAAACCAGGGTAAATGTCTTTAAAACATGGACAATATTTCAATAGCTTGAATATTATATTTACCTAATGAACCTTCCCCTGCCTTCTGTAACATTTCTGCTGATTCAACTGAAACAAGAGCTTTTCTAGGAGCTCGCTTTTCTCCATCTTCACAGCCATCTAGGTCCCCTTCATCTCCAACAATAACCAAACCTTGTTCCTGTAAATATAACAATGTATTTAAATGAATGGACTTAGTAATTAGCATGGTACAAATGCATGGTACAAAAGTATTATTTCTTACCTGAATAAGTCTATCCCGTTCTTCTAAAGCTGCTCGACACATATCCAGATCTTCTTTAAGGCGCTGAGAGAGACGTTTGAGCTGATCAGCCTCTCGACATTTTTCCCTATTTTCCCTCTGCAAACAACGGATTGAAATGAATTATTTAAATAGATCAAGTTGCCAAATAAAATCACAATAGTTGAGAGAGCACTTACCTGCAGCTGGGCATATGCCACCTCCAAGTCTTCCACCTTATCCTTGAGCAGCTCCACCTGATACGTGTAGCTAGCCTTCTCATTGTCCAGCTGCGCGTTCTGGATCATGGCCTTGCGGAACTTGTCCTCCACCTCCTTGAGCTCGTGCCGGAGATCGCGCACCGATCGGCCATCCTTCTCCGCAGAGCCGGGCCCCGAGCCACCGCCATCCTCCAGCGAGTCCTCGCTGGAGCGCCTGCTCCACTGGTGGTTGCTGCCGCCGCTGCCACCGCTCCCGCCGCTGTTGTTGATGATGACGGGGGTCCGCGACTGGCTGACGGACCGCACGGGGGGAGTCCGGAGAGCGGTTTCTGTGCGAGGAAATTCAGCTGTCAGTAAAGGTAGCGCGAGCCTGCGCTGAGGGGGCGAACAGGGGTGGGTACTCACCAGGGTGCATGTCGTACAGCCTGTCGGCATTCTCTTCCGCCTCCTTCTGCTGCCGCTCCAGCTCCCGCATCCGGATCTCCCGCGCCTCGGCCCTGGCCTGCCTGCGGGCCGCGAGCCGCGCCTCCGCCTGGAACACAAAAGCGAGCGGAACCGTTCAGTCCAGCCCGAACTGGGGGGCAGCGGCGCCCACCGCCGATGCGGCCACCTCGCCACCTCCTCCTCGTACTTGGTCCGTGCTCTTGTGGAGGATGTCCACGATCAGGCTCTCCTCGTCGTCATCCGTCAGCCACGCCCCCACCGAACTGCTGCTCCGGCCGCGAGCTAAGGGCGGCGGTGCGAACTCCGCGTCCTCGTAGGCGTCGTCGTCGTCGTCCTCCTCCTCATCATCGTCGTCGCCATCTCCTTTCTTCTGCTCCTCGCCGGGTGCTGTGCCACCCCCAGTCACCGCACCACAAGGTTCGTCGGGGCCACCCACTGGAGAGCCCCCATTCGCGACGTCTTCGCTGAGGTCTTCGACAGAGGTCGACGAGGACCCACCGCAAGAACCGCCGTCTTGAACTGGAGCTCCATCGCCGTTGGTGGTGACAGTCTTCGTACTGGGTGTGATAGCCACTGCGTCGTCTACCGTCTTGCCGGCCTCCTCCGTCTCGTTGACCTGGCCGTCGAGCATCGTGCACCTAAAGAGGCAGACGGCGCGGGCGCGCACGGGGGAGGCGAGTGAGACCAGGCCGACTGAGCCACGTGCAAAGGCGAGAGTAGTTAGCACCGCAGCCCCT